CTTCAAAGAATTAGTTTTTGCTAAAAGTGATGAGAAATGCTTTACCTGTAGCGACAGACTTGTAGTTGCAAAAAATGGTAAATCGCTCCTTGCGTTGCCTAGAAAAAAAATCTTTTTTCCTTATATGAGGACTTACGGTCCGATAGACACTTGTCTATCGGACCATTGTACTCATATGAGGAGATTATTCGACCTATTTTATTCTTGACTTCTGCTTCCCCGACTTGAAAGAAAATAATACTTCCGCCACCGTACTTGACTTCTGACTTGGGACCAGAAAGAAGTTTGTGAGAATTGCATGTTCTCGCTGGTCGTTTTTCGATATGTCTGGAAAAGAAGCTTTTTGAACCCACCCTAAAACAGCATGCAAAATAAATTCGAAACCAAAAACGCCGTAAAAAAACGAAGGGCCATTTTGCGTTTAGGGGGGCGACCAGGTGCATTTTGGTGGCAACAGAGGGGTGAAATCGGAAATGTTGGAGAGAACAAGGGGTGATGTTGGTAAGTTTGCAAGACGTACCCATCCGATAGAGGTTTATTTGTAAGGATCACTGTGGCGACCATCGCAAGTCAGAGGTGACAGGAAAGAAATTTGCAGGTAAAGAGGGGCGACAACAGTTGCCCACAGTGGACAGTGCAATATATTGTACAAGATAAGGGGCGACTTCGGATACTGCGGCGGTACTGAAGGATAGGCTACTCTGCGGTATCCCCGTACAGCTGCTTCAGAGAGCAGTCCTTCACCCTGTGATCCGATAACCGACACAAAGAACAGGAGTACACACGCTTCTTCTTGGCGGCAGGGCCTTTTTCGTACCAGTTTTTCTTACGCCTCCCAGCCCTCTTAACTGGACGACCGCGCGGTGGCGGCAAAGCTTTGGGAATTTGCAGATTCTGCCTCTTCGCAACAAGCTTCTTTGCACTGCATATAACATTGTCGACGCATGCTTGCGAAGGAAGATTGTAATCAACATTTTCGTATTGCTTGACCCAAGCTGCTGTTAGGTGGCGCTCTTCAATAAAGCGATGAAGCTTACTTTCTCCATACTTCTCGATGAGAACAGCAGTTCCGTGCCAACACGGAAATCCAGATCCGTTTGTAGAATAAGCGCAACATAGTGGAGGGGTTTGGGGATTCTTACTCAGTGTGACATGGCGCAGCACAGTTCCATTCTGCTGACTAGCTACTGTCGCCTCCATTTGAGATGTCCCATCCAGGAAACGGATGGAGGACTGATATGCGCGAGCTCGCTGAATTAGGTATGCAAGGTGGCTCTCTGTACGAGCCGGAACTGGAGATGAACAGGATAAGGCGCTTCCTTGACGACGCAGAAACTTTGTCCTTTGCAGAAGGACAACCCTTGTAAGCATCTTCTGAGGCTCAAAGGAACGTATGTTATTCCTCAGGTCTGCGGACATTTGGCTTTCTGCTCCTTGTGACGTTGTCACAAGGTCTTGTAGGTTAGAAAATGCCCTGTAGACTTCAGCATCGTTGAAGCGACCCAGATAGATCTTCTGTTTCTCTGGAAACTCCTCTTTCAGGGCGCGCACATGTTCTCTTGACGGAGCATTGACTGCGCGTTCATACAAAAGAATGCCGACGCCCTTATTTGAACCTAGTTGGGCAGACATGTTCTTCTTCACGTGAAGGGGATCAAGGAACAAGAACGCATTTTTCATCACATCTCTGTACGCTGCATCAATTGATTTCTCTTGATCGACGATTGTCACCCTCTTCTCAGTGTCAAATCCAGGAATGTCAGCACATGCCTGGAACACCTTGCCCCATGAGCTCTTGTTCTCCGGACCAACGAAGTGGGCAAAAACGATGGGGTGAAGCTGATGATTAGCATCGTACCCGACCACTTGAAATGTTGTCCCATACGATTGCATCCCTACTCCATCACAGTGAGCGGCATCCGCGCTTGCTGTCAGACGGCAATTCTCGCAGTAGCTCTTCGCAATGGAAGGAACGAACAACAATCCAGTGTAGTAGCGGCCGTCTTCAATATCAGATACGTCTACATCTTCAGAATTAAACGTAGCATCGTTTGGCAGGCCATTCCCCTTCCTGCACTGTTCGAAAATGTGTCGAGCCGCCTTCATCCGTTGCGCCTTCATCTCCGCCGCACTGCAATAGAAGATGTCCACCCTATGCCCCACCCCCCTAAGCAAATCGGCGTACCCTTCCAATGCGGCCATGTCCACCGCCCTAGAGATTGTAAAGTGACGAAGCAGCTCTCGTCTAATACTGCGATAGTGACTGTATGGAGGTTGACGGAAGTATATGCGCTTGGCTCGAACAACCGAAGCAATCACTTTGCAAGGCACATTCGGATCATCTTGCATATGCTCCAGAATTGCTCGAGCAACCTGCTGCGGGGTGTACGCAGGTGCACACGACGACGAACGTGACGTGATTTTCATTGGGCTGTCAGCGACGTGTTGTCCAAAACACTCATTAAGGTGGTCTTGGTACTTGTTCAGCTTCCAAAGACCCGTTTTTGGTTGCTAATCGAACACAAATGTGGAAGAGCACCCATCTGTGCGGCATTTCATCCGCACTTTTACAGTAGTCTGCAAAATATTCACTCCCCGTTGCACCCCGAGAATCGCCGTGTGAGCTCGAATGAGCTGCTCACATCTCCACCGGGCATTCAACGCCATCCCCACCTTCGGTCTTACGTCCACAATTGGACGAGGCTTCCATGTCATCGCAGGCAATCGTTCCGCTCGTAGAGCTTCCTTCGCACGGAGCATGGTTCGGTGCTTCGATTGGCGCTTTTGCAACGCTCGACGACTTTTCTTGTCAGTGCCATCCGGAATGGATCTTCAGTACGCTCCTCTATTTCTTCTTCCTCGATTTCAATGGCAATGTACCGCATGGGGTCGAAGTCCTCGTCCGACCTATCTTCTTCATCGGAATCAGTGGCCAAGCGCCCGGGTGCTTCTCCTTGCCCCTCCATGTCACCCCCCCTTTCCTCACTACCTACTTCATCTCCTTCATCATCGAAATCAACGGAGTCGACATCCACTTCCATTCTCACCCCATCCCCAGACACCCCTAAATTCTCGCCATCGCCATGCTCAGCTTCCACTCTGTCCTCACGGCACTCAGGAGTGAGATCCTCTTCTCTTATTTCTTCTGTATCGCGAAAAGACCACAAAGGAGAACGGGTGTGGAACGGTGGTGGAGTCGTAAATTCCTCGACTTCATGATCATGAACATCACTCGCCATTGCATCTCTGTACGGACCATCTTCATCTCTCTCGGCACATTCACTCTCCGTCTCAGCCTGCAAATAGGCAGCCTTCGCCCTCTCCGCTCTCTCCCTTTCCTCCCTCTCCTCCCTCTCCTTTCGCAACTGTACAGCCCTAGCCCTCTCTTCCATTTCCTTTTTCAACTGCACAGCCCTTGCTCTCTCCTTCCTTTCCTTTCGCAACCGCGCAGCCCTAGCTCTCTCTTCCCCTTCCTTTCCAAATTTCCCAGCCCTTGCTCTCCCCTCCCTCTCCCGCTCCTCTTGTTCCTCGCTATCACCACCAACCTCCGAAGCGCCCTTCTCAGCCTCCTTCTCACACCGATCGTCGTCCGCATCTTCTCTCTCACGTTTGCTTCTGTATCGGTGCTGCTGCGCAGCGCGCTCCATTCTGTCAAGAGAAATTTCCCGTTGGGAAGAAGTCTTGCTGAAAACGATGAACGCCGGAAGCAAAACGGCGTCACCATCCTTAATATTGTCATCACTCTCCTTAATGTTCTCATGCAGTTCCTTGTACCGTACCTCGTTTTCAGCTTGCTACATAGCTCGCGTGAGTACCTTCATACACCTATCCGTACAGCGCGGCTGCAATGCGCGTACCTTATCTGGGTGGACTAGAACTGCAAGGCGTCGGTAGTGCTTTTTCATTTCACGCAATGTTGCGTTACGAGGAGATACGCAAAAAACGTCAAAGAGGGGTGTGACTCCCTCTTCCACAGTGGCGAGGTGTCGAATTCCCTGCGCCATAGTTTGAGGGAGTACGCGCATTTTGAAAACAATGCGGAAAGCGAGGGAAGGATTTCAGTGAGCGGCAAAGGGGTGACAAGAGTGGCGAGATGAGGTGTTGTGGGGGTGAGAGATGGTAAGGGGGGTGACAGCTGCGCCGCAATCATGCCTCAGATATCCCCACAAATATCCTTCGTTCTGGAAATTTCGTGCTTAAAGTCCCTTAAAATCCTCGGTTACTTGTCATTTTGGAGTACTATACCGGCGACACACTTCGCATTTGTTGTTTTGGGCTGGTGACCAAATGCGGTAAAAGGCGACATTTCGCGTGTCGGGTCTGTCATGCTGCTGTTTTTCCTCCCTTCGCCCCGCGCTTGCAACAACAATTCACAATTCGGACCCTGTTGACAGCAGAAAAGTCAATTTCACCTCTTTATCACCGCAAAAATGCACCTGGTCGCCCCCCTAAACGCAACATTATCTCAAAAACAAAACTTGGTACTCAATCTGCATTATATTCTTAAGCTTTTTGCGCATACAAAGCTGCTATTCCGGTGTTCTGTAAGATGCTATTGCCGAAAACATGAAGGGAATAATACCCAAGGTATAGATTTTTGAATGTTCAATTTAATTTATATATTTTTGCAAAAAAAGAGCTGTCCCCAAGGACAAGCTCCGGTCGGAGAGACATGAGTTAAAGTGCAAAAGTTGGAAATGTTGGTGACGCCGTTTTCCAGAGTTTTCGAATGTTGACGAAAATATGTTTCATTTTTTCCGCAAAGTTTACTGCATAATCTCTGAGGGTTCCGATACGCGTTGACCAATAAATATGCGCCACTTGTGGCCGAAAAAGTGGACGAAAGGCGGTTTCAAAGAATCTCGTCTCTCCCAGGTCACACACCCCAACCCTTGAAGACAGCATTTATGAATGTCGATTCACGCGGTCAGCCCACCTTCACTTATACGCAATCACCGCAACCCGCAAACCGGCTGTGTCCCTAACCTCCACCTCTCACAATGAAAAAGTGCCCTCAAACCCCGGCGATGATCCCAGCTGCGCCAGTGTTAGGAGCTCCGCTTCTTTCCGGTGCCGTTCTCTGTGCCGTTTCTCTCGTTGTGTCCGCTCGCCCTCTAGCCATTCAATTGCCCAAGATTTCCCTGCCTGCACTTCCGAAAATTAGCCTTCCCGACTTGGACCTCCCTAATTTTGGCAAGAAGAAGGACGCTCCAGCTGCAAAGAAGGCGGCACCGACTGCCAGGGCCCCGCCCTCCGGCAACGTCCGCGTGCGTCCTGCCACTGGAGTTCGTGCGTCTGGGCAGTCGCTTGATGCCCCCTCTTTATCAGATATTACGGGAGTGCAACAGCAGCAGCGCGTCGGGTCTGCCGAGGGTTGGGAAAGGTTCCCAGAGCGACGGATGCCGGGCGCGAACATGGACGGCTGGAGGAAAGTCGCAAAGGACATTGCTCCGAAGATTTAGTCATGCAGTCATCATGTCAGCGGTCTTGGGGACCAGCTCTAGGTTGTACAGGGCATAATAGTATCTTAATGAAAGTTAGACGGTCAATGTACTCGCAAGAGAGGGCGGGATCTCTTCTCTTCCATCGGTGATGCGCATCGTATCCGAAACAGCACGCCACACCGCAATGCGTTCCTATTCACTAGACTACGGTGAATTGCCAACGATCAGAGAGGGGTTGCGCCTCCCTAATGGTCAGGCATTGTTTTCGTCCTTCGCCAGGTGTTGCTAGAATATAAATCAGACGAGTCGGCAACCAACCTTTCGTAACCTCATCTGTATGCTTTATTTTCAGGCGACAGACGAGAGCCCTATCGTCTGCCTTTCTTTTTCCTCAGTTTAGCTCGCCCACTCGGAGGTAGTGGCCCTTCTGCAGCTGTCGCAGACGCTTTCGCAGTCGACTTTTCAGCGTTTTTCATAGCCGCCGCGTCGGCAGCTGCCGCATCTGCTCCCTGTGATCCCCTAAAGTTGTTCTGATCCTTTGCCTTCTTCCTCTTGTATCCAGAGCGCAGCGTCTTAGGCAACCACCGTTCGGGGTCTGGAGGGGGTCCCTCTGGGTCATAGTTCTTGGGAAGCCGCTTCTTCCTCTTTTTCTTCTTGCGCTCTCGAACCGCGATGTTCTTCGCCGCAATGTCGTCTTCATCCGCTTTGGTTGTGGTGGTAGATGTGGTGTTTTGGCGTGCGGCAATGTCTCTGCGCTTAGGAGGTGGCAAAGCCTCAAGTTTCTTTGCATCGATGTCATTCTGTGTCGACATTGACGATGGGAGCAGCAATGCGGCCCTTTCAGCTTCAGTTGCGTCGAAGTACGAAGTGGCTACCACCAGCTGTGCCTGTGCTACTGAATCTGAGGGATTCGCATTGCACACCTCTCGAAGCACACCTGCGGCCTCTTCGTATTTTGCATTTCGGAGGAGTACGCTTGATAGTGCTGTCTTTGCCGACAGCGCGTCGGCACCCGAAGACTTTTTCACAAGTTCGCTCAACAACGATGTTGCAGATTCAATATCTCCGCTTTGTTCAAACAGACCGGCTGCTGTAACCAGAGCTGCAGACCTACCACGGAACAAATCTTGCAGAAGAGTGGCAGCTCCTTTCAGATCGCCACTCGCGGCGAGCAATTGCACACGAGCGGCGCGGACAACCTCACTGTCATCAACGTTACCAGTGAGAATACTGTCAGCAGTACGAAGATTTCCCTGCTTGGCTACCAGACTGGCTTCAATGAGCGGTACAAGTGCTTCCTTCGGAAATTCTGTTTTGAGCTTTGCCAACTCGGCCCGGCAGGCGTCGTACCTGCCCATTTGCACAAGCAAAACCGCACGGTTAGCAGCCATTGCGCGTCTCTGATTCAGGGCGAGTTTTCTCTCAACGGTGCGACCAGAAGTTGCTCTCATCTTCTTTAGTCCCTCTACCAGAGCTTCATGCTGTTCTTTAGGAAGAGACGGCCCATTCGCTGTAGTTCCGCTTATCTCCGCAGAATCATTGCGCTTTCCGAAGGCCAACTGCCCCAAGGCAACAGTGAGATTGTTTGCCGCAACAGCCAACGAAGCTGGATCAGCGTTCCGATCCCTCATGGCATCGGCATAGAGCTTCTCAGCTTCCTGCACACCGCCTTTCAAATGGGTGAGATACGCCATTTGCACTCTGATAGGAGCCATGATCTCTTCGGTTTCACCGGCGTCCTCCTCGTCTTCCTCGTCTTCTTCGACTTCTTCTTCAGTCTGGGCCAAAACAATAGCTTTCGCTTTCCGATCCCCATCATAGTGACCACACAAGAGTCCCCCCTCATTCTCCGTCGCTTTCCTCGTTTCCTTAGACCATGTCCCTACTTGTCTTACAATAGCGAGAGCATCATCCGGCTTGCCAGCAAGTACAAACGCAGCAGTGGCATTTGTTGCAAGCTCATTGACAGCGTCCCTCAACAAGTCGAGTTCTGCTCTCGTGAGAGGGATCTTTTCAGGAGCGGTAGCAAGGCCCGGTAATCGCCACCGTGACGTGGAGGCGGGACGTCTAGCATCCTCAAGATCATTTCTGGTGACCGCGAGTAAGGCGGAAAAAATTGAGGCTGATTCTGCGTACGAACCCGATCTATATAAGAGCTGTGCCTCTAATTTGCGTGCATCAGACCCGGGGAGGTTGTGCACGATTTGGACCGATGAGGAGGCAGCTTCGAGGTCTGCGCTTGCCCAGGCAAGATAGTGTCGTGCGAAAACCAAAGAGGGAGAGTAGGGAATGGCCGTGGCGGCAGTAGAAGCTTCCGGAATTCGACCTGAGTGTAGAAGGGAGGCAAATCGGATGGACTGCAGAAGCGTTCGGGAAGCCTTTTGGTCCAGTTTCTTCCGATTGAGCAGAAGGTCGCAGCGGGTGACAACTGCGTCATGCTCGCCACGCAGAAAAAGATCGCGAAGCTGATCGTTCTTTGCAAGCGGTGCTAAGGAGGGAGTTGACATCGCACTAAGACGCTAAGGGACAAGCGCAGGATGAAGCAGGTCGAACAAGCCCAGGTGGCGATCAGGTCTTGATGAGGAGCGGGTTGGCCGCACATGTCTTGGATTGAATTGCGGTAGCGGAGCTGATCATAATAAGTGATCATCATAATACTGTACACCGGGGACGGTATTTAGTGTCAGCGCTAAATTAGTGTCACCACGTAAATAGTGTCACTGACACTAATACATGTCAGAGCCCAGGACGACGACGGATCAATCCAGACATAGAACAATCCTTCCTTTGAGCCGGACCCATCTCACTGCCGGTCCGGAGGGATAGTATTGGTATGCGATTCGTTCGGTTCGTTTCGGGAGCACTAATTTGTGCGCGGGAGTGGAGATACGCAGGCATTCATTACTGAAAAGCGTTTTGTACTAAGAACAGGTCAACTGGTCGGTCTTTGGTCTGGTGTATAGGAAAAGGTTGGGCGATGCAGAGTTGTAACAAGGGGCATCTGCGATAAGGAAAGAGGAGGAGGGGGGGGGGGGGGGGGGGGCCCCCCGGGCTTTTTTTTTAGGGGGGGGGGTTTTGGGGTTTTGGTTGGCCCAAAAAAAATGGTTTGGGGGAGGGAAAGGGTAAAAAAGGGGGATGGGGAAAAAAAAAAGGGGGGGGGGGGGGGGGGGGGGGGGGGGCCAGCGTCAGGACTTGTAATTGGAGGCAGGCATGTGAGGTTTTGGTAGGACGAAAAGAAATGCTGTAGGCTCTAATGGGATCGAACTTACACTATTCATTGTTACGTTTGACAATATCAGTGACAGTAATACCGTTTTCACTGAAATAGTGTAAGTACGGAAATAGTATCACTGACATTAATATATGTTTAGGGGTCGATATTTCCATAACGGAAATGGTATCAGTGACACTAAATACCGTCCCCGGGTGTACTGTAGCAGCTCTGCGACAAATGCTTATACACGTGTACACGATGAAAGCATGCCCCCGTTTGCATGGATAGCGAGTACAGCACCGTAACGGTACCGTTTTGGGATGATCCATTGCGCGCGTTAGAAAAAGGGAAGGGCAAAGGGTAGGCACAGGGCAACGCAGTCAGCATGAAGTTGCTGGGCTCCTATCCTCCCGGACGCCTTCCGCCTTTTCTTTATTCCTCCTTCCTTTATACCTTCCCTCCACATTAGCGATACTGTCTCTCCTCGAGTCGCGTCCTTTCATCGCTCGCCTCCTGCGTATTGCCCTTCGCTAGCTGCCCGTCGCCCTTCGCTAATTCGAACATCAGCACCTGCTCGCGACCGTTTGCTATGGCGTTGCTGATTTACTCACATAGCGCACAGCCTTACCTGCTTTGCTTTCTTCGGACCAAGGGTCAGATGGATATAGATAGTGCACGGCTGGTTCTCTGTCCTATCCTAGAAGGCGCTCTCAACCGTAGAAAGCCATTCGCAATAAAGAGAGTACCTCCTCAATAGTGCAGTTGTGAGTAGTGCATACCGTGAATAGTGTAGGTCAAAACCGCTTGTCCCGACTTTCGACACCTGTACAGAGGGCCCTACTCATTAGTGCCGCCCCGTGTAAGACCCCAAAATTGGCACTATTGGGAGACGGCATTAATAGGTGTCCCATCTATTTTCATGCATTCGGTAATTAACGTCTGTCTGCTCCGGCGTTGGGTCTGTCGTGTTTTGCAGTGAGAAACGCGCGCTTTGCGGACCTCAGATACGATAGGGCGTCTGAAACTTGACATTCAGTAGCCAAATCTTCCAGCTCTCCAAACAATTCCGCAATCTCAACGACAGAGGGGACAGTCCTTCGCTCTCTCGCGTCCTCTGCGCTCCCATCTTCATCACTTGATTGCGTTGTAGTTGTGTTCGTCAAACCCTGAACTGACTCAAAAACGTCCATGGCATCATTAACAAACGCCTTTACCACACTTTCGTCGGACTCAATATTTACCCATCGTTCCACATGAGAAATTCGAGCAGCTTAGCCTCTAGATTTGGGACCCATACGGCCTGACGGGTCTTCAATTGCAGTGATTTGGGCTTCTTGTTGGCTACGCGGAGTAATTTGGGAGCAGTTGCTCTGATGTTTCGCACGGTGCGCCCTGCGATGCCGAACTGCCGCTCAATTGCTTCGGTACAGTGTCCCATTTCGAGCAGATCTGCAATGTCTAGCTTCTGCGCTATTGTCAGGCGCTTGCGCGTTGCGTTTTTTATTTCCGGAACCGGATCCATAATAAGGAGGACAAGCTTAAATCTGTGAACGCTGTTCGGCGAATGGAATGTCGCTTTCACATGTTTTCACGCGCGACGGACGGACGGCTGCATAACACCTGGACACGTTTGACACGTGGCACTTTTCGTGTTCGTACGTCTGGCCGGCATTAATGGGAGGGTGGCATTAGCAAATGTGGCACTAATGAGAGTCCCCCCATTGTATGCATCTCAGAAAAGCAGGGCGTGCATTGCTGCAAGCGTATGACGCTCAAAAGAGAACAAAAGTTCGACAATCAATGGAGCAGCTCGAGAACGATACAAATGATGCCGGTGGTGACAGGAACATTGCGCGAAGAGGGGAATGCATGCACAAGCGCCAACCCAAGAGCGTACAGGAGCCACAACTAAGCCCCCTTCTTGTGTATTTAATGTCAGATATGTACACCCGAATACTGCAAATAGTGCGGTCTGCACTATTTTGGAACGCCAATTCGAAGCCGAGGTGAAGGTATTTACTGCGGTCCGCACTAATATTGATACCGCACTAATTAAGTCATTTCCCCTATTAGTGCAGTCCGCAGTAAATAATTCTGTTCTTAATAGTGCAGTCTACCCCAGTTCTGTCTGTAATGCCGAATGCAATCTGGATCAATCAGAAGAGTTGATATTTTTTAATGTGTAAGGGTACTGGATATCTCTACGCGCCTTCGCCAACCACCTGGCCCTCATTCGCAATCACAGGAGCTCCCTCAAAATGGTTTCGATGCCTCTGAATTATGTTCTGTAGCTTGGGAAACAAATGTCTTTCCTCCCACTGCCCATTTGTGTTGAGCGCTAAGCCACATCTAATCATGGCTTTCCGTGCGTAGGTTAAACCCTCGCTGTCGCGTTGTGCGTTAACATCCCGAACAGCCGCTGTGGCAAGCTCCAGAAAGTAGTGCTTGCCTGGATTAGGCAACTTGCCAGAAGAAGCCGTAAAGTCACCCGCCATTATGCGCTTTATTTGGTGCTGGTCCCAACGACAACGCCAAGCATCTTTTAGCTTTTGTATCACAAAGGAATCGGCGGGCTGCAGTAGGTCCGTACAGTTCCGCGGGAAAAACCTGACCTCTGTTTTGATTTCGTTCAACGCTTCCAACATTGCCGCAGTCTCACCATGCCCACTTCAGTTGTCCATATACAAAACACGATGCCAGCCGTGCCGAAGCGCCTTAATTACTTTCCGTTCCCTCAGCCACTGCGGCATTACTTCGCGATCCATCCAACCCTTCGGCCCCGAGCGATACGAAACTCCCGCTACATCGTCAGGAACGCTTTGAATTGGGTAGGTTCTCTTCTTGTTCTGAAACACCACCATTGGCGCTTCGATTCTGGCATCCCTTCCACCAGATATACGTACAATCATTGTCATCCCTTCCGCTCCAGACACTACGTCTGAATACTTTACCTCGGCTTCACCGCAAATTTCCAACGTTCGATGGTTGTCCATGTTGATCACAAAGTGCGTTTCGTCAGCATTTGACACATCGTCCTCATCTAAACGTCCTGACTGAAACTCTCGAGCCACAAAGCCAAGATGATACGCCACTTCCTTCTCGATAAAAGCTTGCTTCTCCGGGGAAACCATCAATTTGCCTGTTTGAGCGCGACTAACAATTTCGTTCCGTTCCATAAATGCCTGGATCCAACGCGGTGTGATCATGTACTGAATAAACTTTTTTGACGACGTATCAAAATAATTTAGAAAATATTCATCCCTCGTAGAACTTTTTATGAGCTGTCTCGCAAGATCTCCGAGCAGCTTGGCATTGAGCTTGAGTCCGGTTTTTCGAAGCCTGTCAAACTCTTCGAGGAGGTCGGCTTGCAGAGCCATTACCCAAGCAGACCTCTTCCGACCGCGGCCAGGCATGGCCTTTAAATACACCCTTTTGATGCCGCAGCTTTTAACACTGGTAATTGAGCGCGGCGCGCAAACCGTCTCGTCTGCTTCAAGGTACTCGAGGCGTGCTTTCCATAAGCTACTTGCCTGAGAATTGTTCGCCTTTTCGTTTCCACGGAACAGATGAGGAAACTGGCGGACAGCTTTTGAGGCAATGTGTTTAGAACCTGCCCTGGAGACCTCCTCAGACATCCACTTGACAATCCTAACGCGATCTGATCGCGTAAACACACGTTGGACCGCTCTTGTGCGGACCGCCGAGGTCGCGGCTGTGTTGGGCGGCGGTGCCGGAAGGCCGGAGTTGGGTTGGAGTGTGGCAGATGTACGCGGATCGGAAGAGGAATGATGGGCATCTGCAGTAGCTTCTTGTGTTGAAGCTGCGTCTCTTTCGTTCCGCAGGCGTTCGGCATTTTGGAGGGAAGCAATAATGGGAGATGCTGATACCGTCATGATACGCAAGCTGGATCTTTCGGACGGCGGGGTGCAGCTTTGATGTAAGAATGGAAAAGGTAAGCCTTTATATGTGCATAACCGAAACACCACAATGGCGTTTTGTTCCAGATTTGGGTTAGTATCTGTCAAAAATGGCGCGCAGGACAGCGAATTGGCTGCTTTCTGAGACTGCACTATTAGATGTATGGTTTGCAATTAGTGCGGACCGCAGTAATTGCGCCATCGGCGATAGGCGAGAAACACAATTTACTGCGGTCTGCACTAATTTCGAACCCGCACTATATTTTCACCCGCACTATTTGCAGTATTCGGTGTAGTGTCGCCGGCGGAAAGAGGTGGGAATCGAAGTAAACGCGATTCGAACAGGAAGTGAGGCGTCAAGAAAACAAGGACAAGTCACTCTGTTTGCTAGTATGAAAATATTCGGCTTCCGCGAGATAGTTGAGGGGACGCTAAAGAAACATCCCACGTCATGCCAACAATTAAATTGAAGCGCAGGAGATATTGATTAACTGTAGAGCCTTTAACATACTCTCTATGTCATTCAGGAAATAGTGAAAGGAGAACCTCACTTGGGTGGAGATTGCTTGCTCCTTTTACGACGCCACTGTGGTGTAAAAGAGGGATCGAATTTTTGTATTCGACCACGAAATTTCGTATTCTAATGCTAAACTAACTGAGCTGGGCGACTTACTACATCTCCTCTGTCGGGTTTTACGTGACGATCCAAGGAAGGGTTGTTAAGGCAATAGGAATCTGTCGGTACGTAGAGCTCAAGTATGGTTCGGCGCGATCGCGCTCATCGTGAGCAGTGATGCAGGACCAGTTTGTTCGGCTGTGTCTTGTCAAATTGGCCGTACAGTAGCCGGGACAGCGAGGCGAGCGGGGACAGCCTTCCTTACAGTCTCGAGGAACGCTTTGATAATGGACTATAACGCGTGTATATTCCACAGTTGTGCACAATGTGAGGAAAACTGCCTCACAGCCGCTGCAACGCATATTGTATGTAGCACTCCTGGGGAGCAGGCACGTTGGAAAGATAGAGCTAGGCATTGCATTGAGACGGAGAACTAGGGACGCCAAAAGTAAGTACCCTTCGAAGGGTACCCTGTGCACCCGCTGGCATGGGACATCTACGGGGCATCTGGCCCCGGGACACAACGAGGCCTGCACCTTGTCGCCGACTACCTTTCTACTCGCACTGGGAACTCCCCAGTCCATGAGCGTTGGCGTCTCAGCACCATCCTTACCTCCCTCATACTCCAATATACGGCTTTATCCGTAAACCGACGTAGGTTACGGCTTCCCCCGGTTGCTCTACAGACCCTCGGTAGACCCTGATGTTCTAGTCTCGGGCCGCCCCAATACTCTCTCAATAAAGTCGACCATTCAAGGGTACCCTGTACAGTGAAAGGAAACTGAGGACTGAGTGCCGTGAATTAGAGAGAGGAAGTGCTCATAATAGGGCGGCCACATGATCCGCCAGTAATGTACACACCCAATGACAACTCGGCTGGAGCTGTCCTTCGGAGGGATCGGTACAACTGTGATTGAGGGTGTCTTAACATGCCCCGTTTTTCTGCAGTTTGCTCTGCTTTGTCCAAAGAGGTGATTTGGCGTGCTATGAGTGGCTCCTACGTTTTAATTTTTGAGTTTACGGTATTTGTTAAGATTTTAAAAGTATTCCTGGCACCACCGGGCAAGCTCAGGGTGCATGTTAAGACACACCCTCAGGGTGTGTCTTAACTTAGACAGGGAAACAAGGCGACCGAACGAATGCTTTACGAAGCAGGATCGCAGTTGCTGCTGTGGCCGTCTCGCCATCGCCAATAATCTCGGCCCAGGTTACACACCGACGGAGATGACTGGATTGCGCGCAACCGTACACTCCCGACGTATCGGTCGCACCGGGCACCATGCACCGCGAGTGACACTAAAAATTTGTGGAATCGCAACCAATCAAATCGTCTGCGTGGACGTGCATTGCTCACACTTTTTGAACTCCACATATCACATCATATAAAGTAGCTTTACCCGCGACGGTATGCATGACCGAGAACACATAAAGACATAAAGTACTATACCCCCCCGGCTTCCACTCTACCTGCTTATGCATCCTTATCCCCCGTCCTCGTCGCAATCGAGCGACTGCGAGGACCATCTCTCCTCAGCCCATAAACGCGTCCTACATCGTCTCGCGTTGGGATTTCGAGCTGGACTCCCACTTCGCAGCCTTCTAGATTCTGCCAACTCGCTGCACGGCTCTTGTCCATTCCTCCTCCCATCAGCCCAGGACTACCTGCTCTCCCTAACTCTCGATTTCACCCCTTCCCAATGCCCCCCTCTCTTTTCCCTCGGCTCCCATCGCAACGCCAGTCTCTTGCGGTTGATGTTCGACGAGCTCGACCACACTCCGAGTCCATCATTCTCTGACCGTTTCCTCGACAACGCCACTGCCTTCTGCACTTCTCAACACAAACGCATACCCATCTCTACCCACGTCGTATTTCAACTTCCATCAAAGAAACAAAGCTCACCAAGACAAGCAACTTTGAATGTTTCTACACGCCTCTCCGACACTGGAAGACGCGTATGGGCCGCTTCTCTTGTCCTTTATGCGCATGCCGTCTTCCCCGGTGCATTCGCTTCATCCATCTATCAAGCATCTGTTCTAGAGCTAGGCGCCGGCACCGGTCTCTCTGCCGCTGCCTTTGAGGAGGCCGACGTGCGTAGTGCTTGTCTCACAGACTGTGACCCTGCTGCATTGCATACTATGAAGCAAAATTCTTCCACTGTAGTCTCTTACCCCGCCCACTGGCTCTCTTTCGCCAAATTAGACATCGGTGAAAAACACTGCGTGCGCGAAGTCACAGACAAGAACAAGGTTGACGTCGTCGTAGCCGCTGATGTCGTTTACGATCCCGATTTTATACCTGCCGTTGTCGATGCCTTCGAGAACGCCCTTAAAGCAAGTACGAGAGAGGGGTATTTGTTTGCGACGAGTAGAACTGAGACGTCCGATCAATTACTCAATGAAGCTCTCGGCCAAAGCGACATGCAGGTCGCTGTTTTGCAAGACAATGTCAACTTGGATTGCTTTGGGTATCTGTGTGACTGGCATCTCGACAGGGTCAGGGTGTTTAGACTACGCACGAAGGGATCTGCATGACTCTCCGCGCGTGTCTCATCTTCCAGTCGTCGTCGCCGTGTCGAAACAGCTCCCACTACCGACTGCGGATTCAACACGCATCATGTCTGGACCGGACAAGATATGTCACACCTCTCCGTTTACCATCCCTGCACGTTGCCCGTTGCGGTCGAACATGCATGGCACAGAGTGCGCCGCAGCTGTTGACAGCTCGAGTGACAATCAGGAGAATACGTCCCAGTAAGGGCCCTGGGCACCAGAGTCTGTGCCCCAGGGCAAAACAAATTTGGTCCAAAGTACCAGGGCTCATGGCTCTGTAAAAGCCAGGTTGACAATTAATTTTTTCAATAGGGTCAAAGTGTAGATTTTGGGGCGACACCCGGCCAAAGTGAAATCTACGTGGGGGCGATTTCAATGCCGTGGGGGGTTTTATAGGGCGACACTACTAAAAAGTGCTTTGCTAGTAGGGTGATTTTGGTCCATGGTGTCCTTTTGATGGGTGACAATGCACGTTTTCTAGGGTGACAGAAAAACGATCGTAAAGTCACCTCCGACAAACTCATATTCGGGGATGTCACCCCATAAAAACGTATACCATCGTGGCATTTCGGCGGAGACCTAAATGTTAGAAAAGTCGCCCTAGAAACGCATGATTGTTTTAATGTCACCCTTATAAAAGCACGCCAACGCACGGTTTCGCGCTGGATATAGCGCTCTCAAAACTGAAACAATATAGTGTGGCTATAGAGGCTGCCCAGTGGCCACCACAGTGGCTGGCATACGGTGACGCGCGGTCACGCGGCGTACGTTCTGCCTTCTGAACCAGCCATTTTTCGGCGTCTACGTTCCCCAGCTCCCCCCCCGCACATCTCGCCGCAATGCCCTCACCCGCCTTCTTCATCGCCTGACTCTGCACCCTGCCTCTGGCATGGTTCAGAGCAAGGCGATGAAGGCAGGCACATGGGATTGCATATTGTTACTGATTGTGCACTGAGACAGCTTTATGGGAATGAAAACACTAGGTAAACATGCTTCCGTGGTATGGAAAATACTGTATATAATTGTATGTAGATAGAGTGGGTAGAAGTTGCCGGTGTTTCGCATATGAAGTCACCCTATATTTCCAACTGAAATCACATCAATCTCAGAAAACGATCCAATGTCGCCCTATAGACACAGATAAAGATCGGCATGTTTCAACATGTCGTTTTCTTAGGGCGACGTCACCCTCGGAATTGGATGAATGAGGAACGTCACCCTTCAATGCCACCTCAATTGGGGTAGTCGCCCCCAAAAACCCCCCAGGGCTAGAACTTCACCTCCCCAGGGGCATCAAAAGCCGCACCTGTCACCCCAAGATCCGCAAATGGCCCTTAATTTTTCTGATATTCGCCTCAAACGACACTTCTCCATTGGTCCCGGTGGAGGACCTTGTTGGCTCCGGCATGCCAGGCCTCAATGATGGAATATTTCCATCTAAACTCCACCGTAGCTGTAATTTCGATCTGGCATCTTGGACAAAGGCTGACAAATCTTTTCGAAGTTTCGAAGGTTCACAAAATGCTTGCCAAAGTTCTGAAAAACGTTTTCAGCGAAACTCAGAAACATTTTGGGGACATGCACCCTTGCATTACACAACGAGTCTCCTCCATCCACAGCTATCCTTTTATTGGAGCAGAGTTATCTCCCGCGCTGCCGCTGGAGTGGTGAGTATTGTTGAGTAGGGGTCTGCCTGGACATGGATTGGACCGCCTGGACATCCACGACATAAAGGGGGGTGCCCTTTGTTTCGGACAGGTTGTCAAAAATTAAAATAAAAACATCTTCATCAGGTCAGATTGGGATTTTTGCACCGTCAAAAGAAAGCTCTCGTTCTGTTCCACCAGCTCCATTAGCCAGTCAATACGTGGCGGCGGCGGAAAGTACGGGAAAACAGCGCAAACGCGAGTCCGCGACTACAACCGACGGCGTGCAAACGGCACGAGATGATCGGACACACACGGTCCATCTCTTAAAAAATCACAATTTTATTTGAGGTTTTTGGAATGCCACGTCACAGATGCAACCACATCCTCAGGCTCTTTTCTTCTGCAACGCTTTACGCCGCGCCACGGCACGCCGTATGTTCATGGACCGAGCTTTTCCCTTCAACACAGACACCGATAAACCAGCTAGCGCCGCACGCCGGCTCCACCGGTAGGCGTGGAACTCCTCTCCTTCCAGTACATGCTTTTTGTCACGGGCAGCAGCCTTTTCTGCCACTGCAGCAGCCTTTAGTTCGCGCTGTAGACGTTTAGCCGCATCTGATTTCATCTTCTCCCTCGCCAAATACAGAGCCCTTTCTGACGTTAAAACAGCCCCTTTAGGCGTGTCGATAAATCCGCAGTCTGATACTGTAGCGTCCTCACCCAACACCGCGTGGCGCATTTCTGTGCGCTTTAATTCAAGCAAATGTTCCAACTCCGAAACTGACACCATCGTGTCCGCGACATTTGAGCTTTGAGGGCGGGGCATTCCAAGCAGTTGGCTTGCGTCAAACGGCCAAATTCCAGCCCTTCTAAAGCCCGTTGTGATGTTGTGAGCGGTAAAGGCCTTTCTAAAAGCATGTGTCAACATACTGCAAAACGAAAAGGCGTCCCAATCGTTCGAGTAAGATTTAGAAACAGACAGGTTCACAGCTTCATTCAGTGCATTTTTAAACGACGAAAACACAGTGACGTCTAGCGGTTGTGTTTTGCCAGAGGTGTGCGGGGGGGAGGGCATACACAATCACCCCATGTGCATTGAGCATCTCTAGCGCTCTTACCGACATGTGGCATCGCTATCCATCTAAAATTAGTAGTACTTTTCTGTTGTTGGATGTTAGGTCCGCCACATGCTTGACAAAATGAGTACACCAAACATAAAAATTACCACTGTCAACCCCTCCTCCTTCTGCGCGCATTCCGAACACGGAATGCCTTGGCAAGTAGTCAGAGAAGGTCTCCGTAACCCATTCTCCATTTCGTTCTACCACACGATAAGGCACTCTTACACCTTTGAAAACAAATAGTGGCGGAGCAACATGTCCTGACGCAGAAACCGCCGGGAGAATTGTGACACGGTTTTGGTTAAGAAAATTCCCCATTTTGGCATCCGACGTGCTGTTTCGCGTGACGTAAGCACGGCTGCTGCCATTTCCATTCACATCTCGTTGCGGCGTGGCTCCGGTCTCGTCGCAATTCCATATGCGATTGGCGTCAATGTGGTGCTCGATGATAATTTTTTCGATTGTACTGAAATGATGCGTGAGCACAGCAGCATTGCAGGCGCGAAACTGAACCCCTTCCTGGGGGAGAGGTTTGACAAACCTTATCGTGTCGCGGTGTCTTTTAGTGAAATTGCGCAAGAAACGGTCTCCCGGAATGAGGTTTCTAAAATTCAAGAGGCGCCGACGCACAGGGAGCATTCTTGACACAATAATCGACACGGCCTCCTTGAGGTGTACATGTCGAAGGGGGAGACCACGCTCTGCATATCTGATCAATAGTGATATGATCATCTCCTCCTCCACCTTAGTAAGGGTATCGAGGCGTGAGCGTGAAGCTCGCACAAACTGGTTTTTAGGATTTGCGGCTTGGACGCGGCTGCATATTGTGGACTTGGGAATTTTTGTGACGGAAGATGCGTGTCGATAGGTACTGCCATTGTGCACAAGACCTATAGCAGCTTGGATGCGCTTTTCACGTTTGTCTGAGGCCATGGCTTTCTAAGAGGTACTCGGTGGGAGCAAGTGGTGGACAAGTGAATATGCCGTGCAGCTGCTCAGTTTGGTCTTTCAAGGGTTTACTTCGCAATGAGCGGGAAAAGAAGGAGTTTACAATTTGAACTGACCGCCCAACATGACGTAACGTGTCCTGCAAAGCCGATTTGGCAGATTGGTTTTTAATTTTACCAGTTGGTTTTGGCGGTATTTGATGAGGGAGTGGAGGCGTTGGAGCCCAGACTGACCAGTGGCCCGCATTTTTACATATTTTTCCAATTTTTTTGCATGTCCGAACTCTTTGTCACTGTCCAAAAATTTGGGCACCCCCCCTTTACATTGTATACATGCGTCAAATCCGTGCTTCATCATAAACCTGTCGGTGCCTCTACAAGGCGATCCAATTTTCTTTCTGTTTTTCTCCTCTGCACTTCCATTTTCATCCATCATCCATCTCTTTCTACTCTACCTCCACTTCTACTCCTCTTCAACGCCATATTGCCCTTGGTTATATCCTCGACAGTGCTGTTGTTGACTCGCGCCCCGACACCGCCGTCCCCGCTGTGCCGCTGCCGCCGCCACACCGGCCGGCCGCGACAGCCTCGTCAGTCCCGCAACCGCCACCATCGCCGCCGTAGTCGCGCCCGTCGCCCCCGCATCGCAACCTGCCGCAGATCTTCCCCGTCTTTGCCGACGCAAGTGCCTTCGGCAAGAAGCTCTCCGACGCCTTCTCCGCCCAGGACGCCCCGAACGCCGCGCCCGTGTACGTCGTCCCGCCGCCACCCGCCGCTGCCCCGTGCCCGCCGCGCACGCCTCATTTGTCTTGGTTTTGTCCTCGAAGCCTTTTGCCAGGGCGGTTCTTGGATTTCTGCTCTTTTCGTGCGTTTCCCGTCGCGCCCGTCGCCCCCGTGTCGCGACCTGCCGCAGATCTTCCCCGTCTGCGCCGACGCAAGCGCCTTCGGCAAGAAGCTCTCCGACGCCTTCTCCGCCCAGGACGCCCCGAACGCCGCGCCCGTGTACGTCGACCCGCCGCACACCCGCCGCTGCCCCGTGCCCGCCGCGCACGCCTCATTTGTCTTGGTTTTGTCCTCGAAGCCTTTTGCCAGGGCGGTTCCTGGATTTCTGTTCTCTTGGAGCGTTGCCCGCCTCAAGCGCGCGCGTTCCTGATCAATTTTCGGCTGTGCCTTCGCTTATATATCTAAAATTTTGAAGCTGTCCCATCCATGGTTCCGATGTACACACCGCTGCGCCAACATCCTTCTCAATCCATCTCGTCAAC